ACTTTCCAAAGGCAAATTCAACTGCTACCTCTCTTCCCTAGAAGGTCTTTGAAAAAATGCTTTCTCAGCCCTCTGTAAACTCATGACTCTGTTCTCTGCAGACCTTTCTGCACCAATTTTTATACTGTCTTTGGGTTTCACTGTTATTTGTATACATTTCATTTCTGCCCTAAATAGAAACTACAAAAAGACAAGAACACATCTTGCACCTCTTTGTATTCCTCCATCAATTCCTCAACATATTGCATGTATACTCAAATTGCTGGGTCATCCTCAAGTGTTCAACTTGTACTGTCCCAGGCTCACATTACCACATCAATTTTCCCCATGGTTAAAAAATAAAATAAAATAAAATAGAAAAGGGTTTAGTGGAGTAAGAAATAAAGTCCTAAAACATCTTGAACACACAAATATGTTTTAAAAAGTCAAAAGGGTTTTCTTGTTGCAGATATTCTGGGAGATTTTAATTTGTACATCTCCTAGAAAAGGTGCAGCACATTCAACCATGTTCTCTTTTCTTTACAGCAATTCACAGGATTCTTCCTCTGAATTACATATTTAGAAAATGATGAAATAAATTATATCCAGTCTTTCATAATTGCATCTATAGTGTTCTGCTGAAAGGCTTGAGATTATTGATTATAGCTGGGAAAAGCTGGGGGAGGGAAATATTTTTTATCTTCAAAACCCAGTGAGACATTTTTAAAAACAAAGTATCACTTATTAAACTTTTCTTCTTCCTTGACCTGTTTGAAACACTGGTAACAGACCGAATTTCAACATTTTATCAAGCTTCTTTCATATAGTTTTTTAAACCAATAGTCTTAAGCCACATTATAATTAAGTTATTCAAATATTTAAATAATTTTTCGTACTTTAAGTTCAACTGGAAATGTTTCAGTATTTCTTTTGTTGCACGGTGTCATACATTTATTTTCTTAACTAAATAAACATTGGGCACTTTTCACATACTGTGCATTGACTCAAAATCAGCATTTCCATTTCAAAAGCAAATAGACACTCAACCATGTGAAATAAGTCCAGATTATAAATTTTATTATTTTGTTTAATGTCACTCATGACTGAGGACAGTTTAAAACACAATTTTGAGAAGTATAAACTGGAGTGTGGCTGTTTGTTTTGATCATTCGTGTACATGTCTGTAAGGGAGAAACATAATTATAAAAATACACTTGACGGTTCACTGCTCTGCTAATGCATACCAGTGC